GCAAGATTCAGGATTCAAACTGGGTCTTCATATTGATGGGAATCACAATTATTGAGAATAAAAATTGAGAACCATAATTAGCATTCTGGAAATATTCATGCTTTGCATAAATTATTAGTGATTCATACTGAGGACTTAATGATGGGGAGAGTTTATCCCACATCAACTTACTGAGGGGTATTTTGCACTACTTCCTAAGCATTTAGTGCTGGTGACTGATTGAGGAAGGATCTTGGAGTCTGATTCCTGTGTTCCAGAGGAAGCTAAACAATTGTAGGTTAATATCCTGATGTTAGATTTGAAACCACTGGGGGGTTTCCTTGTCATAGCAGTATAAAACTAGCTAAGAATATTGAGCAGACCAGGGAGTTAAAAGTGCTTATTTCTTTAAGGCAGGGGTTGTCAACTGGGGGTAGGTGTACCCTCAGGGGTACTTAGAAAGGTTGTAGGGGGCATGTGCAGGCAGGTGGGGACAGAGTGTGCTCTGGGGTGTGGCAGTGGAGTTCCCCACAGGGAGGGAAGCGCTGGGTGTCACTGACCCTACATGGAACTCCGTGGCACTTCCCTGCCCTCTACTCCAGCTCACTCTCCTGATTGGCCACTACCACCTTATAGCAGAGCCGCAAGGTTCTGAACAGCGGGGGGGGGGGAAGGGAGAGGAGTAGGTTCTCTGCCTACCCCCACTGGCACATGATTGGCTGCAAGCAAGGTCTGTCAGCATTTGGGGGAGCTGCATGTGTTACTGGCCATGGGAAAGTAGCGTGGGGCACAGAGGACATGGCGTGGTGGCAGCAATGGCAATGGCAAATGTTTGTGCAGATTCCTGAAAGTGGTTATTGTAACTTGAATCAGTGCCTGATTATTCTGCTCCTGGGCTTGCTAGCTCATCAGGGCACCTTTGGCAGTGCAACTGCTCTCCCTGCAGGGCAGCAGGGCTCCAGCAGCCACTGTCCCCAGCTGCTCCCTTGACAGCCCTTGGATGTGCCCCCAGGTTCCCATTGTCCCAGGACCTGGCCTGGTCCAGGCCCCATTCACCCCTGCCCCTGCCCCTGCCCCACTCCCTCCTGCACTGTGGAGGCCTCCATCTTGTCCACCCCAGTCCCTTCCCTCTCCCCTGCCCCGCCCCTTCCCCACCACACACTTACCTTCTGGGGTTGTCTGTG